GTGCGCAGCGTGACGTCGATGGGGATGAGCGCGACATGGTGCCGGTGATGACGAAGCCCTGGGTCGCGCTGAAGAGGATGCCCTCCGACAAAAGTCGTTGGCGGCGACGTGCGTCGCTGCCTCGACGGCGGCGCAGGTGGCCTCGACGGTCGTGTGCAGGCTGTACTCGACGCGGACGTAGGACTCGGCGTCGAGGAGGCGCAGGTCGAGGCGCGTCACGATGCCGAGGGTGCCGAGGGCGCCGGCGGCGGCGGCGAAGAGGTCGGCGTTCTGGGTGGGCGAGGCCTCGACGATGTCCCCGTTGGCGAGGACCATCTCGACGCAGGTGACGGCGGCATCAAAGGCGCCGTGACGGAACGACGACGACTCGCCTGCCGAACCGGCAAAGGCGCCGCCGGCGGTGATGCCGGGGAACTCCATGACGACGGGGGGCACGAGGTTGTGGGGCAGGACGGCATCCAGCAGGCCGTCCATGGCGACATTGGGCTCGACCGAGACGGTCTTTGCGGCCTTATCCACATGAAGGACATGGTTGAGGGCGGATATGTCGACGACGGGCTGGCCGTGGGCGGGGCGTGTTGAGTTTGTGGAACCGTGGTGGATGCGGAAGGGCTGGCGGCGAGCATGGAAGGTCTTGACGGCGGCGGCGATGCTCTGGACGGTTGCCGCGTGTGAAGCTGCCGTCTTTGCGTCCATTCTGTGATGCTGCTGCTGGTGTCGATGAGATAATGAGGTATAAGATGAGCTTTTGCCAAGTCTGATGAGGTCGAACCGATGTAGTCAGCCGGAGGGCTCGGATCTCAGATGGTGTCTTGATCTTGATGTGGTGGTGAGACATGAGGTGACGTTGACGTGACGCCAGGTGTCACCAGGTGTTGTGGTGTTTGGACTCAAGCGTGGGCTACCTTGGGTAGGTAGGTACCTTGGAGTGCAAGCAGCCAGGATCAAGCATGATGCCGCGCTTTGGATTGAATGGATTGAATGGCCCCTCGGTTGGATGAGAGATCGTAGCCTTGATGTTCGTATTTTCGTCGCGGGTTGATGGAATCTTGGCAGAAGAAGCTTGGCTTTGATGAACTCGTCATTTGATGAACTCTGCATTTCGAGCAAAGTGTACCTGCGTGAACAGGCCATGGCCTCCTCTGCAGCATTGCAGAAACAGGCAGCAAGAGAGGCCATCCAAAGCAGCTGGTTGAGGACGAGAGACAGAAGGCCAGTGTATCGAGTTCATGGCGAAGCAAGATGCCAGGATCGTGCTCAAGGCTGCAGGCGAATTTCGGAGCAAAGAGGCAAGGACTGGTGACTGCCGATGGTCTCGAGGTACCGAGCCGAAATGGCCATGGCGGATGAACTGCGCCTCTTCGGTTCCCATGACCACACGTCGGTCGCCGGGCGAGGACTCTGTCGAAGTCCTGTGTCCTGTCGACAAGGAGGATGGAAATGCGGACAGGCTGCTTTATCGTTGATAGAGACCAAGACGCCAGGACACACAAGTGGAGCAACAGCTGCAGTCACCATTGGTGCAGGCCGCGACGAATCATGGATCCGCGTGCGTGGGTTAGGGTTGTTCCAGTCAGACGAGCCTCTGCCATCCGAAGCAAGGCCAATCCCCAACTCCCTTCACTCCACCATCTTTCGCTCTCTCTACCAGCGACCCTGACAGTTCGTGATACAGTGCATATCGCTTCTTCGCACTTATACGTGCCCTTCATGCTCTATAAATGGATCTCAACGACTTTGTTCCTTCACACGAAGGGGACATGGGGTGGATAGATGGCGCGCGTCTGAAGCTTGCCTCTATGTCCGCTTGCCTCTGTATCCATCTAGCAATCTTCGAAGCCTGCCTCTTCCCCTTCATCGTTCATGTCCATCTCGTACTTGTGGGCATTCATTGGCATCAGAACCACCCATGATCCCGATAGTCCAACCTATCCTCCCTCCCCGTGACACCATGGCCAATTCCAGCCCTCAATTCAAACAGGAGATCCAGCAGGTGATCCCTTCGAGAAGCACCCCTATCTTCCAGTCAGTCCACTCACATCCTCGCAGATGATGTACATTGCCGGCGAGACCCAGGACACCTCCGACGAGACGACAACCCTCATTGAGAGCATCATTCACGGCCAAGTCGTCCACATGGTCCGTCTCTCCTAAACACTTCCTCACAGCTAACACCAACTGCTCACTCCACCCAGCTCACCACAGCCAACGACCTTGCTTTGCGCCGCGGCGCCCGCCTCTTCACCGTCGCAGACCTCATCTTCCAGTTCCGCCACAACACGCCCCGCGTCGACCGCCTGCGCACCTTTCTCACCTGGAAGGCCATCCGCAAAACCGTCAAGGACGCCGACGACAAGGACGCCCTCGCCGCCGCCGACGACGAGCCAGACGTCGACGACGGCGCCGGCGCCGGCCCCCTTCAGGGCCATTTCCCGCCGTCCACCTGCCCCTGGGACCCCGCCCTCCTTTTTTCGCCGAGGAGCCCGCCCGAACTTCGGACGAGGCCCGCGACGGCCACGGCCCGCCGAACCCC